ACTTTAGAGTTAAATTTCTGTATTTGCTTGATTTTGATGTCTCCCGTTCCTGGATCACATCTTAATCTGTTTCATTTGCAGATAGCCATACACAACAGACTGGTTATACATAGACTTTATGCAAAAAAACCCTTAAACTTCTTGTTTTGCCCCTATAAAAGTTAACTAGTTTTTGCTGAAAGTGCAAAATTAGTGAAATACGAGTTTTGTTATTGGACTGAGTTTGCTTATTTTTTTCAAAAGTGGAATTTGCAATGAGAGAAAATCTTAACTCAATTTTGGTTGCAAAGATCAAAAGCCTGATTATTTTTCCCTAGAATGCTTTCTGTGGTAATTAAATAGAAAAATAGGTACAAAAAATTAAATCATTAAAAACAAGGAAATAAAATGCTGGCTTCTGAAATTAGAGCCTTGGAAAGGAATTTGATGAATGTGAGAAATGATTTCTCATATCAGCTCTTTATCTTTCCATTATGATTTTATGATGTTTTTTTCTCAAAAGGTGAATAAAATTTTGAATTACTACAGGTGAGTTCAGAATTGATCGGCATGCACAGAAGGTATGGAATTTCTATTTCATAGTAAGAGTTAGTAATTATAGACCTTAAAAATATTTAATTTCTGCTCCATGACGTCAGTCTATAGAATATAATTTTATACATTGTTATTATGCATAGATATGTAAGCAGTTAACTCAAGGCTTTCTATTATTTAAAATAAATAAATACATAAAAAATATATCAAATTAAAATAAAATAATTACATTAAAATATAAATACATAAATATATAGAAATAAGAAAATAGAAATTAAACAACATTTACTCACATTCATTTCACTTTACACTTGGTTGAAAAAGGATTAGCAATAACTGAATATTAATGAGGATTAACTTTTTCTTTTTTTTTTAATCAGTATCACCCCATGCAAGGTAGTAAAGCCACTAAATTATAAGGGGTTACAGGGTATGGAAAAATTAGGAACAGAAACATTAATAATGATCAGGAAGAGGAAAGAGTCATCAGAAGGACAGTAGATAGTGATTGACATTACAGTTAAATTTTAGTAGATTAAAGTTGACTGGAAAGCATAAAACCGGAAGGGAGTACCACAAGCAAGAAGTGCGAGAAAAGAAACTGTTAGCATGGAACTTGTAGTTACATCTAGCTAATTCACCTGTAAATTGGTGATATCTCGACACCAGTTTAATACTATGCTTAAATTAAAAAAGTCTAGGTACCATAGCAAAGAACTTATCCAAACAATTACTATGAAAGTATTTATAGAAAAGGCACAGAGAGGCAACCTAACAGGGTGGGAAAATAATCAAGCTGCCAGATCAGAACCAATAATATTGCTGATACTTCTTTGGCTTTTATTAAGGAACTCAAGGTAAATAGCAGGGGCACTGGACCATATGTGGCAGCAACATATTAAGCATGGATGAATAGATATGTATGATAGATTCTGGAGAGAAGAATTGTCTTGCACAACACAATGAACTAAATTTCTCAGCAAGGATTCCGTATAGTCTTTCTTCTTCATGTCAGCTGAGAACATTAGCCTGAGAAGGTGCAATGAGTCACTTTCTTGGATGTTATACATAAATAGCTGAATGAGAAATATTTACCCTCTTAGATTAAATTAAGTTTGAAATTCCCTGAAGGTTACCCAGCTCAACAGACTCCTGAAAGACACAACAGATGAAACATTATGATAATAACAACAAAGATAAGTTTAAATTTAAATAATATCAATAATAATAAGTTCTTACCCCAGAAATTCAGACAGAAACTAATTTTTGTTTTTAGTCTAAGCCAGTGGTCTCCAAACTTTTTATATCACAGACCGGCTTCATGCCAAACAATCTTTCCAGAGACCAGTAGTGGCACATATGTGTAATTTAAGTACCTTTTGATAAAGAGGGCAATAATAAAAAGAGCTATTTATTAAAGGAAAGAAAAAGTGTATTATCTTTTGACTTTCATGTCTGGCTTTCAGCCTGACCGCACCCTTGTGGGCTTAGTTTTCCTGAATCAATCCCTATTACATTAATATCACATCAATATCAACTCACCATAATGTAGAATCAATGTAGAATCTGAAAATTAATTGGGATTAGAAAATCAGTTGAAAATTATTACAAATAAATAAAAATATACATTAGTTGTAAAATGTACTTACAGTTAAGATAGATAGTAAAGGTAGACATAAAATATACATTAATTATCAAATAGTATTGAGTAGATGAATATTTAAACAAATCTTTTTAAACTAAAGTTTAATATCTACTATAAAATTTCCAACAAGTTCATTATTTCTTTATGGCCAGTAACAAATGATCTGCAGCTCGGTGGTTGGACACCTCTTGTCTAACCCATGGCACAGAATAGTTCTCTACTAATTAATTGTTCTCTTTCACTTCCTAAACCTGGGAAATGTTGGTAAATATCCTGATTATTGACTTCAGGAAAACGAAAAGGCTTTTGTTGCTGCACTCCTTACTGGCATCAATTCCCCCAATCCCAAATTACATTTAATTCTTTCTTTATGTGAAATAATTTGTCAGATAGACTATCAGAATTCTCCATGCCACTGTTGAGTTAACTTTTGAATGTAGATGAGGCAGTAATTGTTAAGAATTCAATTGAAAGTTCCAATATCCAAGAGTTCAGTCCTCTATATAGATAAGGTTTGTTAGTATCATTTTGAGCAGGTCATTGAAGTAAAGATTATAACTGAAGGTAATAAAAGGAAAGAGATTCCAGAAAATTTATAATTATTGTACAGTTCTCAAACCAAATATTTTTTATCATTAAATATCCATAAAAATATACTGTGACAGATTTTATGATGTTAGTTAAGGTTTACACAATAAAATTGATATTAACTAACCGATATATATATTTAACAATTAAGAAATCAGCCAATCAGCATGATTAGCTGGTCTTCTAAGTTTATTTTTTTTTTATATTTCAAAGTCTAATTTCTGACCAACAACTTTTTCATAATTATGTATATATATATATATATATATATATAAAATTTCTTTAAAAGCAATTATTATTTCTTCATCAACACTATGTTCAAATTTACCAGCATATAAAAGTTATGAATCTTAAAAAAAATACATTAGATTTATAATTTATCATATATATATATATATATATATATATATATATATATATATATATATATAAATATATATATTTAAAGTAGGTCAATACCCAGCAGTGACAGTCTGTTTCATGCTTAAACACAATCGTTAGCCTGACAATTATGTTCAAGCATGAAACAGATTATCTAACTCTTGTGTTGATTTCAATGTCCACTTTTATATTTACATACATTTTACCTGTTACCGAGCACTTTAACTCATAAATATCGTATGACTATATTTTTTTATCATACACACACACACACACACACACACATATATATATATATATATATATATATATATATATATATATATATATATATATATGTCAGTACCCACTTGCAATCAAGCATTGGAATTGTCATCCTCTCATTCTCTTTCTCTTCTCTGGTGGCAGTGATGGGGATGGCTGTGAAAGCTCAACCTATTTCTGAAAAGTCATGAAGAGGAGTCACATATTGAGGGTGGTGGATGCAGGTTAGTCAGGCCCTCGACAACATGTTGCAGATCCTCTTCATGTTGATGGTTGGACCCCAAAGTCTAGGTCCTGCACTTAAATGATCCTATGCTAGGATGGCTGATTTGCAGCAACATTTTCCAGGTCTCTGGGTTGATGTTGGCCTGTGTCAGGGATGTTTTCAACTGATCATTGAAGCATCATTTTGGGCCTTCTTGTGTGTCACTGAACTAAACATAGTATGATATTTAGACTAATTTGAAGCCTGGTTTTGAACATAAAGTAACTGTGATTCGAAATGGGGAATTAATCAAGCTAAATTGTATTCTCATATTCTTTGTCATTATTGTAACTTCTTGATTTCATGGAATTATTCACTACATAACTGTTTAAAAATCTAGAAAGTATATTATTCAAAGACAATGCCATTACCATATCTCAGTGTTACAGTGACCAAAAACTTAAAGGAATCTTCTTTTGGAAATCACCTATTTCATGAAAACTCAAAGCCTTGACAAGATCTTTATTGTCTGTGTCTTTGTGTCCCAACTGATGTGGCAGTCAAAGAGTTAATGTGATATTCTCTATCAAATTAGATTCCTTAATATTATCAAATTTGGATGGCATATTGGGAATTGACTCTGGCAAAAGAATTATCTACAAAATTGATAAAATTTGAATATTTTTGAAAATATGGATATATTTAAAATAAAAAAAAAAGTTTTCTATCTTTGCCTTTCACTTGAAATCATGTTCGCAATTTTCAATCTGTAAGCTTTCAAATAAGAAATCTGCTATATGTTTTCTTTATGATTGCTCCACCATTCTGTCTTTGTTCTCTTGTAGACACATAAATCAAGAAGATTGGAGAAATGTTAACAGCAGAAGATGGAATATAGTTACTGCTCTTTTGTATTGAAATATGCCATCAAATCATCTAATAACTTGAAAGTTAAAGGATGGGTATTGAAGAATACAGAAAAACAAATTTCGTTTTGGAAATAAATGAAAAAGAAAAAAAAAAATATTGGCATTGGTAGGAGTGGAATCATCTGAAAATGGATTTCATGTTATGACTGAAATTTCCAGAGAAATTGAGAGCTTGGGGACAGAACGAAAGTCTCCAATTCAGTTTCTTAACAAGAGTCACTTTAGATTTCCCTGCATATTCACTTGTGGTTTTTAATGGGTTCTTCTGGGTAATATTTGACATACCTGATCAAGTCAGTAAAGTATTACAGACTTTTCTTAGACTTTACTTTTTTCTTCTCTTTTGCTTTCTTTCTTTTTCAATTTATTTGCATTTTCTTTAATTCACTTACCTTTTCTTTTTTTTCTTTTTCCCTTTTCATTTTCATGCTTGGATTCAATCAACTTATATACTATGCTTTTCTTTCCTTCTTTTTCTTTTTTCTTTTTTATCATCCTTTTGAAAATGGTTTTCTTTTCCATCTTTTATATACAAATTACTTTAGCTCTTTTTTCTTTCTTTCTCGTCTTTCCTTTCCTGCTTTCTTTTTCTTCCTCTTCTTTTACTTTACTTATCCTCTTTTATATTATTATTTCTTACTTTTTCTTTCATTTCTGTTTTTCTTCCTTATTTTTTATTCTTTTTTTCTCTTTTTTCTTTCAACTTTTTAGTTTTACTTACTCTTTTTATTTAGCATTTTCCTTTTTTACTTTTCTTTCATCTTTTTCTTTTCATTATTACTCTTTTTCTTTTTCCTATTCTTCTTTCTAGTTTTCTTTTTTCTCTCCTTCTTCTTTTTCCCAGTGTTCCTTCTACTTGTCCTCTTCTTTCTTCCTCTTTTCTTCTCTTCTTTCTTCGTCTTTTCTATTCTATTCTCTTTTTTTCTTTTTCTCCAATTCACTTAATCATTCTCTTCATTTTTATTATTATTAATTCCTCTTTTGTCTCTCCTTTTTTTTTTTAAATCTTCTTTTTAACTCCTTCTCTTCACCTTTGCTCTTAGAAATTATTCTTTGCTTGAAAATTATCCTGATTTCATTTAATCCTTGTGAACATTTTCACTTAATTCACAATGGAGCATTAAAAGTTTTTCTCGTTTAACTTGGAATTGCAACAAGTAGGAAAATAATTTCCACACAGTACTAAGCATGTATACATACATTCACACACACACACACACACACACACATATATATATATGTATATATGTATATTAATAATAGTAATAAATATAATTAAAAAATTGATATTTATACCATACTGTAATGATAATGAACCAGTCCATTTACTTTTTTTTATATGGTGGAGGTGGCTAATCAAATAATCAAGTTGGGAATATTATATATATATATATATATATATATATATATATATATAGGCAAATTTCATGGCCATGACAAACAAAGTGTTCAATGTATTCAATGTAGGTTTATGAAATATACATAAAGCAAAGCAAATATAAAATATATAAGTAAATGAAAAGCATATTAAGAAAGAACAAAATTAAAATAAGTTGACATCAAAAATCAATGTCTCTTTTGAGAAAATTAAATAGTGTCTTTTAGGAAATTTATGATTTCAGTAAATACATTCAATTTTGCTATCAGAACACCTTAAGAATGGATACCATATCTGTAAAACTTCAAGTTGGGGAGATAAGTTGAATATTTAATTTTATTTTGAAGCAACAGTCTTTCATTGATATACATTTGATTAAAGATAACAGACTAGGATTGTTTCTAGTCTCCTCATTATCTATCTATCTATCTATCAGTATGTTCATATATCAGTATCTCACTCAGTTCATATCTATCTATCTATCTATCTATCTATCTATCTATCTACACACATTATATTTGCATTATTGTTTATTTTGCCATATAGCTGTGTTTGGCAATGTCATCTTGCAAAGTACCTTCATAAATTTAGTCAATTAATTCAGTTATATGAATGTTTATTTAATAAATCTGATCTGGAATAGCACATTTTATAAATTTTTAGTAACGTTTTATTAATGCAACACTAGCTTGAGCAGGAGGCAAACATAAATTCATCTGTAAATAGATAGGAATGGACTGAGATAGATACATACATACATACATACTGAAATGGATACATACATACATACTGAGATAGATACATACATACGTACATACTGAGATAGATCGATAGATAGGCACAGACTGAGATGGATAGGAACAGACTTAGATATTGACAGACTGAAATAAATAGATTGAGAGATATTGACAGTTTTGTAATAGATTTGCAACACATAACTTGTGATATAAAAGATTTTACTGTCTTGTGAATATGAGATGGAAAGTTTTCCCTGTAGTCTACATGCAGGCTCATTTACTTATGGATCCAATTCCTGTGTTGTATTTTTCTCAATATTTATGTTTATATCGTATACTTTACAAGTAACTGATTTGCTGCCAACAGTGAAAAGATTTTGCCTGAAGCCAGCCCGATCGTCTCCTGTTTGGCTTAAGTTCACACCAACCATTTTCAGAATACAAGTTTGTTTTCTTGTTTTTTTTGGTTTTTTAAGTGAATTACTTTTTTTCTTAATTTTAATTTCTTTTTATCTTATTTTTCTTAATAACCTGAAATGGACATGATGTTGGCATAGATAGCTTTTGTGTAGTCTCATTTTTTTTTTTTGAGAAAAAGATAATTATTCACTTTTAATGTCGTCTGTGTGTACACATTGTGCCTTTTAAGTTGTAGCATAGTGTGTAACACTTTTTGATACAAGGGAAAGAAAAAATACTCTCAGAGTGAAGAGAAGAAAGAGGGTCGATGCTAAGAGAAGAAACGAAGGGAAGAAAAGCTCTTGGGTAGCGAAAAATCAATACCAATAACCGAGTCTTCGTTTTAAGCTCAAGTGAATCAGGAAAAGCATTGCCTCTTGATTTCTTCATCACCGGAATATACTAAATTCAATAAAAGTAAATTTTTAAGACACAAGTGCATCAACTCAGTAATGTGTTTTCTTTTAACTATCTTATTTGAGATTCTTCATTTACCTTTTCATCAAAGTGAAATATTATTATTATTATTATTATTTATTATTATTATTATACTGTGTCCCTTCAGGATGTGGATGATTATGGCTCTCCACAGTTTTGAATTTCTCATCAATGTTTGTCTTTTTATGTACTATTCTTCCCATTCCTTGATCTGCCATCAATTTACATAAGCTCACTGTTTCCCTCTACCTCTCTTGCATTTAATATGTCCTGTGAGTGTCAAACTCTCCAAGTCCTATTTTCTCATTATGTGTCCTAGAAATTTCAGTTGTCTCTTTCTGATTCTAAGTATAAGTGTCATTTTTGTTTTTATTTTCCTTAAAACTTCCTTGTTGCTCACATGCTCCATCCATGGTATTCTTAGCATTCTTCTGTAGGACAAAGTATCTGTCGTTTCAACTCTCCTCTTCATTTGTGAAGAAATTGTCTAACATTCACTGACATGTAGAAGGATTGATATTAATTATTCTGCCTATAATACCTAATTTTATTATTATTATTATTTTAAAAAAAATCTTTTTGATTTTTATAATCACATGCCAGGCCATAACCAATAAGCTTGAGCAAGCAAAGGATGTGATGTCTTGTTGCTTCCTTTTAATCTATATATAAAATTCTGTGACTTCCATTAGTCCATCTGTCTGTCACACCCTTTAAAATACAAATACATTAACTGGTCAAAACCAAATTATGGGGAGAAGTTCAAACAGGCAATTGGGTACAAAGTATAGTATTTAATTTTTTTTAATATAACTTTACATAAGCTGCCTAAACTAGCCAAAATCAGTTGTTTTTGAGCAAAAACAACTCAATTTTGACTACTTTTTTAGTTCATTTTGCATTTGGGAAAACTATAAACAAATCACAAGGATAAATGCTTGAAAAAGTTGGAATTTGTCTCCAGAAAGTAGTATTTACACATGGCCAGTTGTATGTTGCATGTTTGAAAGTAAGAAATCCTATGAATCCTTCACTGTTAATAAGGAAAAAGGAATACAGAAATTTTCTTAAAAAAATATTATTTTCCATGAAGTCCTATAAAATTAAATTAAATTAATGAAATCATTAAACCACAAAATAGGGTTTTTGTCAAAGTATTTTTCCAATCAAATCAGCTTATTCAATTTCATTGATTGATTTGTGGAACTGAATGAAATGTAGAGTTTATAAATCTCAGCAAAAATGTTAGTGATAACTTCAACAATACTAAATACTGTGAGGATTCCTATATGCATTAGAATGTTGCAAAAATTCTAGTTAAACAAATGACAGCTATTAACAAAAAAAACTAAAATGGAAAATCACTATAGGATATAGGTTGTGCTTGTTAGAACTATTTTATTAGATTTCATGGACAGATGGTGCACTAAGGATTTTGTTGATTTGTTGTTGAGTTTCTTTCTTTATCAAACCCAAAGCTCCAATCACAACAGGGACAGTTTTAGTTCTTAAATGCCTTATTATCAACAAACTGTTGCATTTTCACACCAGTGATACACTGTTTGTTCTCATTGGATTAACTGCATATCCCTTCAGTCTTCTTGTTGATATTGCTTTTGTCTGGGTCTTTTCGATGCTTCCTTAGATTTGCAAGTCTGTTCATTCCAGGCACTCTAATTTTATTTTCTTCTTATTTCAAACCATGGTCTTCTGTGAGAATGAAGGGCAGTATCTGCTATACATATTGTTTGCAATAATGTTTCTGCTTTATCTGGTCTGATTTAGGCGAACCATTTAATTTCAAAGAACCAGATACTTTTTAATATTTCAGAACAGATTCTACTTTATATCTATACGATTGATTCACATTGTCAAATCCAAGTCATCACTTTTTTTAAGCAGTTCTATCTATGCTTGCTTAGCTAAATTATTATTACTAAGAACAAACTGATTATAATAATGTTTTTAAAGCTGTCCATCTTCACTAATGATAGATGCTATTATTATTTATGTGCAACCTGAGATAGATAGAAACAAAATGATAGATAGATAGATAGATACAGAATGATAGATAGATGGATAGATACAGAATGATAGATAGATGGATAGAAACAGAATGATAGATAGATAGATAGATACAGAATGATAGATAGATAGATAGATAGATAGATAGATAGATAGATAGATAGATACAGAATGATAGATAGATAGATACAGAATGATAGATAGATAGATACAGAATGATAGATAGATAGATACAGAATGATAGATAGATAGAAACAGATAGATACAGAATGATAGATAGATAGAAACAGATAGATAGATGCATAGATAGAAACAATCTCAAATAGTTAGGTTGGTAGATAGATACAGAATGATAGATAGATTTGTAATGCATTGTGATATAAATATTGCATAAGTAGAACAAATGAATGAGATAGATAGATAGATAGATAGATAGATAGATAGATAGATAGATATCAGCCTCCATGTATTAATGCCATGGAAAGAATTATATTTCATCCATTATTTATCTCTCCAGAGTTAAAGTAAAAATAACAAAGATAAGATGGCTTCCTATATTTCAGAACTGGAAAGAAATGATAGGTAGCCATTTTAATTGCCAAAAGTGGGAAAAACTGAAGTAAAGAGAAATTGTAGTTGTCCGTTTCAACTACTCATTAACCCAAATACTAATAATCCTTCCTACATAAAGTGTCGCAAGCGATTTACTTAGACCTTTCATTTTCATTTTCCTTTTGATTCTGTTAATACATTCATTGCACTATTATTAACATGGAATGATTGTTACAAGGGCTTTTGATTATACTTTCAGCTTACAATCGACAAGCTAGGAATATCAATATACATGTGTCCATATCTATGTATGTATGTATGTATATATATATATATATATATATATATATATATATATATATATACATACATACATATCAATACAATATATCTATAATTTTATAATATACATACATACATATCAATACAATATATCTATAATTTATATAATATGCATACATACATATCAGTACAATCAATATGTGTGTGTATATATATATATATATATATATATATATATATATATTGATTCAAATTTATAACATATGCCTGTTATAAGATCACTACAAAAAATATATATCTGGCAAAAACTGAACTTGTGGAAGTTTTCAAATTTTAATTTTGACATAGAACAACGTAATTGGAACTTGGAAAAACTTCATTAAAATTGGACAAACACATTTTATTCTTACAAAACTTGAATATATATATTGGTACAAATTGTATATATATATATATATATATATTGTTCCTCACAATTTGGTACAACTCTCATATATATATATATAATTATTTATTTAAAAATATGATTCCAAATCGCGACATAAGAAGTCCCATGTTTCAAAACAAGAGCCAAAACTTCAATATAATTATTTAAATTAAATGGAGTTAAAATAAGCTCTGTTCCATCTTCAAGCGAAATTTTTTTCCAAACATTTTTTTGAAACATGGGACTTCTTATGTCGTGATTTGGAATCATATTTTTAAATAAATAATTATATTTATGCTCTACTTTTCTATCGAGCACTATTTTTTAAAAATAATAACTAAAATACTAACGGACTTTGGATTATTTACCTAACCAGTTCCTTCCTATTTTCTATATATTTTCACATATATATATATATATATATATATATATATATAATAATATTAAATAATAATTTAAATAAATATAAGAAAAAGTATATAAAAGAAAGAAAAAAACACTGTATAAAAGACAGAAAAAGTATATAGAAGAAAGAAGGGAAGGAACTAAATGGGATATAAAAAAGAAAAAGTATATAAAAGAAAGAAAGAAAAAATATAAATAATGGAGAAAAAATGTAAATAAAG